CCAAAAATCCCAATTTTTCACCCCAAAAATCCCAAATATCACCCCCCAAAAAAATCACAAATTTTTGCCCAAAAATCCCAAATTTCACCCCCAAAATCTCTCCTTCCTTTTCCCAGTTCCGGACGCGGCCCCGCCCACCGTGCACCTGCTGGCCCCGCCCCCGGAGCAGCTGCGCCGCCGCACCTGGGCCACCCTCACCTGCCTCATCCTGGACTTCAACCCCCCGGACCTCCTCGTCCAATGGCTGAAGGACGGCCAGCCCCTCCCCTCCAGCCACGCCCTCACCTGGAAACCCCGCCCACAACCCAGCCACGCCCCTTCTGGCCACGCCCACCAGAGCGTCAGCACGCTGACGGTGCCGGCGCGGGATTGGGAGGGCGGCCATGTTTACACCTGCCTGGTGGGGCACGAGCGGCTGCCGCTGCGGCTGGCGCAGAAATCCCTGGATAAATCCGCCGGTAACCCCGCCCACCTCAACGTGTCCCTGGTGCTCAGCGACTCCGCCGCCGCCTGCTACTGAAATCCCCGTTTTTTACCCCAAAAAAATCGCACTTTTCTAGACGGAAATAAAGCGTTTTTTGCAAAAACAAAATGGCGGCTCTAGATGCAAAACCCTGGTTTTTAGATGGAAAATTGAGGGGTTTTTTTCCCAAAAATTTGGCTTTTTCCACTCAAAAAGTTTCGTTTGGCCCCGTTTTCCCACAAAATTTGATTTTTACCCCCAAAAAATCGCACTTTTCTAGACGGAAATAAAGCGTTTTTTGCAAAAACAATATGGCGGCTCTAGACCAAAAACTCGGTTTTCTTAGCTTGAAAATGGAGGTTTTTTTAACCAAAATTGGCTTTTTTCCCTTGAAAAATTCTGGTTTGACCCGGTTTTCACTCAAAAATCTGAATTTTTCCACACAAAATTTGATTTTTTCCACAAAAAACGCAATTTTCTAGCGAGAAATAAAGATTTTGTGAAAAAACTGCAATTTTGCAGCCAAAAAACTCCTTTTTTTGCCATAAAACATGTTTTTTTCCCCAAAATTTGGATTTTTCCCCTCAAAAACTCAAAATTTATCCAATTTTCCTCAGAAATGTGATTTTTTTCTCTCAAAAATTCAAATTTTCCCCCAAAATTTTGATTTTTTCCCCCCAAAAAAAGGTGATTTTTAGGATTGCTGAAATAAATAAAGGTTTTGTTCAAAAAAAAAAAGGCGATTTTAGACCCCAAAACCTCTTTTTTCACGCTGGAAAGATTGAGGTTTTTTCCCCCAAAATCGGGAGGGCGCGAGGTGGGGATTTGGGGTAAAAAATTCGGGATTTGGGGAAAAAAATATCCCGAATTTTGGGGTTGAAAAATATTAAATTTGAAGGCGGGAAAATTTGGGATTTTGGGGGGGAAAAAATCCAGATTTTGGGGAAAAAAATCAGGATTTTGGGGGGAAAAACCGGGATTTTGGGGGCAAAAAAATTCCTGAATTTTGGGGCTGGAAATTCCTAATTTTTGGGGATCTCGAGTTGGGATTTTGGGGCCGAAATCCCCAATTTTGGGTTCTAAAATCGCTCTTTTGTGGGGGAAAAAAAAAGTCCAAAATTTGGGGCAAATCCCTGCTCGGGTTTCCAAATTCCCGGTTTTTAACCCAATCCCGAATTCCCATTTTTTTGGCCCAAATTCCCATTTTCCCTCACCAAAATCCAGAATTCCCGGGTTTTCCCCCCAAAACCCCAAATTCCCATTTAAATCCCAGTTTTTCCCCAAATTCCTCTTTTATTCACCCAAAATCCTGGGTTTTTGTCACCAAATTCCCATTTTTTTTTGCCCCAAATCCCCTGTTTTTCCCCCCAAAACCCTAAAATCCCATTTTTTTCCCCCAAACCCACCAAAAATTACATTTTTTCCCCCCAAATCCCGTTTTTCTTGCCCCCAAAACCCTCAAATCCCATTTTTTCCCCCAAAATTCTGCTTTTTCCCTCCCAAAACCCCAAAATTTTGTTTTTTCACCCCAAAGCCCCCGAAATTCCATTTTTTTCCCTCCAAAATTCTGGTTTTTCCCCCCAAAATTCCGTTTTTCCCCCCAAAATCCCATTTTTTTGCCCCAAAACTCCCAAAATTCCGTTTCTTCCCCCCAAATCCCACTTTTTCCCCCCAAAACCCCCAAAATCCCATTTTTTTGCCCCAAAACCTCAATTTCCCACTGTTTTCCCTCCCAAATCCCGGGTTTTTTCTCCCCAAACCCCCCAAAATTCCATTTTTCCCCCCCAAAATCCCCAAAATTCTGTTTTTCCCCCCAAAATTCCATTTTTTCTCAAAAAACCCCCAAAATCCCATTTTTTCACCCCAAAACCCCGATTTCCTGCTGTTTTCTCCCCCAAATCCTTGATTTTTTCCCCCCAAACCCCCCAAAATTCCATTTTTCCCCCCAAAATTCCGTTTTTTCCCCACAAAATTCTGTTTTTTCCCACCAAAATTCTGTTTTTTCCCCCAAAATTCCATTTTTTCGCCCCAAAACCCCAATTTCCCGCTGTTTTCCCCCAGCTCTCCTGGCGGGCGCGGTCGCGGGCGAGGACGAGGAGGATCTGTTTTCCCCCAAAATCCCAAAATCCCGTTTTTTCGCCCCAAAACTCCCCAAATCCCTTTTTTTCCCCAAAAAAACCCCAAAATTCCGTTTTTTCGCCGCAAAACCCCAATTTCCCGCTGTTTTCCCCCAGCTCTCCTGGCGGGCGCGGTCGCGGGCGAGGACGAGGAGGATCTGGGCAACCTCTGGGCCACGGCC